TCGTTGGCACTTCCCGTAAACAAAGAGCCCCAGTCAAGACCGGATAAGTCTGCCCTAATCTGATTGAAGTCGCCCCGCCAAACATTACGCCTTTTGTGGTCTGGAGTATGTGAAATGGAGAATAACGAATAATCCCACGTAGGCACTACGTGGTCACTTCGGCCAAGGGGTGGCATGGAGACGATATCGTCTATGCTGTCTGGTGTTTTCGTAAAGACCAGATCCAGGCAGTTTGCCCTTTGTCCTTCACGTGTTCTCGTTGGGAACATTACATGTTGTGTGAGGCACGCATTTAATGTCTTGCTCAACAGGCGGTAATTGAATGCCGATTTTGGACCTGACGCTTGGAGGGTATTCCAGTTTGTTCCTGGGGCGTTGAAGTCGCCCATGATCATGATGTTAGGTCGACTGGAAAATTTCTCCAACTGCTCCAATAGTTGAGCGTCGGCGATTCGGTCTGTCCTAGGTGGTCGGTAGACATTAAGGACATCGAGACACGGGGAACCGGTAGCCTTGATGGTCAACCAGATAGCTTCTGTACTGCACGCTAACTTGGTGGTTTTATCCGACACTGACAGACCGTCATTCACATACACAACGATACCACCACCCTGACGATGTTCCCTGTCCCTCCGATAAATTTGGTATCTAGGCAAGGCTACTTCGTTATCGCTAATATTTCCGGACAGCCAGGTCTCAGTTACCGCTAAAACATCTGGAGACAGCTCAACAAGGCAAAGTTTTAGTTCGTCTAGTTTCGATATGAGGCTTTGGGCATTCGTGCACAAGCACCTCAGTTTAGCACCAGCCGAATTTCCCGTTGCATTTGTTACTGCTCTGAGCATTACTCCGTTATCGCGGACGTCTTGTTCTCTAGGCTCTTCCGTTACCTGATTGGTTCTATTTACATGCCTTGTTTCAGTCAGATCACTGGACGCTACGGGCTCACTTGTGTTGGCGCCTTGATCAGGTGGTTCAACGAAGGTGTCTGTTTTAGCTGAGTAGCTGTCGTCGTTCGTAGTATTACAGGCTGGTTCCACTGAAACGGCATATATTTCCGAACTACCTTCCCCTTGAAGATAGCCAGATTGTGTTTGCTATCCTTCAGTCTTGATTTTAACTCCAAGACAAGTTCCCGGCGTTTCAACCGTTCCGCTGGTGAATAGTCCGGTTGAAAAAACCTGTTTGTGTGTGTTTCTGAGATCGGTTTTTTTAGAGAGGATAAACTTGATTTGCTCTTTGTTCTCCAGCATAATTTTGAGAGGACGAGGTGGTTATGCTACTGTCCTGTCTTCACTCCTTTTTCCTATCCGGAATGCTTCTAGAACCTTTATTTCCATGTCTGCTGGCTGTAAATGATTTAGCAGACCATGAAAAGAAGCAAGGTCCTCTGAGACACGGTCTTCAGGTCTGACTGCATTCGATTCTGACAAACCCTGAATAACCAGACACTGCTGGCGAGCATGGTCCTCCTTACTCTGTGTTTCCGGTGAATGCGCTGCATGTGGGCGAGGACGATTTACGGAGTCATCGCTTGGACGCACACTTTTACTGTCTACCGACTGTCCCGAGCAACTCATCAGGGCTGGCTGTGACTTCAGAATCCTGTCATGGCGTTTCCCTCTCCCCTCTACCCACTGGTTTATGTCTTCACATTCAGATACGTGCTCTGTAGTGCGCTTGGGGTGGTTGCCAGAACAAGAGGGCAACAGTAGACTGGATGACCCAGGTATATCGTCTCCAGGCAGAACAGAAATCCCATCACTTCCAGCAAGAGGCTTAGGTGAGATGGCTTCCGCGACAGGCATTTTTTTGCGACATCGCTTAAGACATCGTGCGTGGGAATCGAGTCTCCCTTTATCGGCGGCTTTGTTTTCATTGTCCTGCTGTTACCGGCGTCTGCGGTTTTGGCTGTTGAGTTGCTACTCGTGTTTGAAGATTCCTCCGAGGATCAAATTTCTACACCATAAGATATGCGACTGTCTGGAATTCTCTTCCAGGTTATATCCGGAAAAGTTGAACCCTAATCGAATTTAAAATAAAAACTAAGAAATTCCTTTCAAATAACAATACACATTTATTTTTGAATAAGATAGGACATTTTTAAGTCAATTCTTCGATATTGAATTTGGTCCAAAAGGGCTCTGATGATGCCAGCCGATTGAAAAATACCGGAGCATAGCACTCAAAATAATCAAATTTATAAAAGATAGCATCATTGATGAACATAGAACAGATAATGATATTCCTCTATTTTCCTCCCTTTCTCGTTTTCATCAGCTATGTCACCAGACACTAAATATCCCTTATAAAGCTAATAAAAATATACCCTTCGATAAAACCCTGCATATTAGTCGTGCGTATGTCGATATTAAAGCCATATTAAACATATATAGAACTGTATTAGGTCATAGTAAACAGTCGACCACTACTCCTATAATTTCACATTAACAAGAACAATATGATACATGATTCAATAGTATTTTGACAGTTTTGATTGTGACTTACCATTGAATGCTTCTTACTCCTGATATATATTCATCTTTTCCAGCTCTTAGTCCAGACAACGATGGTAAGCCTCCTGAAAAATACGTCGGAACTGTGCGACCGCCCCCTTACAGCTGGCCAGATAGACTGACAACCTGTAGTAGGCGGGCCACTCACTCGTCCTTTCTTCCCTATTGCGATGGTCTTTGCGGCTGCTGTTTCTTCAAGGACTGGCTTAAGCTCAGTACTGTACGTCACCTCTGAATGGTATGGATCTTTAGTGTCACTCATTCTTCAATCAGAAACTCAAGCCAGCGCGAAACTCAGTAGAAGGAAAACGGTCTGTACACAAGAGATTTATACAGTAAAATAGGGTATAAAGGGACGGGAAGCGTATAGTCTCAACGAAGATGGGGGATAACGGCGGTCAAAGGGAATTGTTAAGCACCTCATTGCTGTGGTTCTTGGGTAGGTACTACATTCGGTGAATTCGTCTCCTCAACTCCGTTTCAATACTCCTTCTTATCTGTAATGTGACGAAGAAAAAGGCTCGTCCGAAGCACAGCACCACAGCTCGCCGTTTTTGTCTTCTTTTTTTTGACTTCCCGCCAACTTCACCCAGTCTGACACTACGCACTCCCCTCCTCAGTTGGAGCCCTGTCCGCAAGGCTCGCCGTTAGCGTGGTCTCTATTATTTCTTCGCTAGTTGGAACGGGTACTAAACTTGGAGGAACGATGGGCAAGGTGTCCTCTGTAGCCGTAGGTTGGCGTCCCCGGTATGGCTTAAGCTTATCAAAATGCGCGGTGAACGTTGGGCCATCAGGGTATGACGCGTCCCGAAGTACGTAAGTAGTGGGATGTAGAACGTCTACGACTACATATGGTCCTTCCCAAGGATGGAAGAACTTTGCTGAAGTGCCAAGGGGGGGTACTGGGCGGAAGCGCCACACTAGGTCGCCTAATTGGTAGGGAGTACCATGTATCCGGCGATCGAAGTAGTTTTGTATTTCAGCTGCTGCTCCGAGATGATCTCTTGCAAGGTTGTGGGTTGTGCGTAGTAATTCTTGTAGTTGTCACATATAGTCGTCTGGATTGCATTCGTTGGGTGCGGCTACCGGCACGCGGGAGTCTATCGGTAGGCGGAAATGGCGCCCTGTGAGCATAAAGAAAGGGGAGTATCCCGTCGAGGTATGCTCCGCGGTGCGATATGCCATCATCACGCATGGTAACTGTTTGTCCCAATCGTGGGGGCGGTTCTCTTCAGCAAAGGCCTTCAGTAATTGTGTCAGTGTGCGGTTAGTTCTTTCAACTTGGCCATTGCCTTCCGGGTGAGCAGGAGTAGTTCGTGTCTTATAAATGTCGAGCAAGTCGCACACATCCTGTAATAGTTTGCTATCAAAATTCGCTCCGCAGTCTGAGTGGACGGATAGGGGCGCTCCGAATCGGCAGACCCAGTTGTTAAATATCGCGGTAGTTACCGACGCAGCGTCTTGGCGTAGAAGGGGTACTGCCTCTGCCCACTTGGTAAAATAATCAACCATTACTAATATAAATCGATGACCGGAAGTAGTGAATGGTAATGGGCCGATAATGTCTAGGCCTAGGCGTTGAAACGGGAAACCTGCGAGCATCGGCTGGAGTGGTGCTCGGTGCCGTTGTTGAGGAGCCTTGAATGTAGCACATGTCTTGCAAGTGTTGCAAAAGATGGCCACCTGATCGCGGAGATGAGGCCACCAAAACCGCTGGCGAGCTGCGGCTTCTGTCTTGTTTCGTCCTACGTGTCCTAACTCGGCATGCAGATCTGTGAGCACTGCTTGTACCAAGCTTCCTGGGACTACCACTCGGCTGTGTCTCGTTACGTTGTCTCTAATTAGTAAGATATCGTTTTCGATAAAGAGTTGTGACCACTGGTTACGGAGAATATAGGCTGCTTCGGACGAGCCACGTAGTTCAGTATCGGTTGGTCGGTGTTGACCACGCGTCAAATGGTCATAGACTACCGCGGTGTCCGGGTCCGTACTCTGAGCCACTGCCCAGTGGTGTCGTGTCGGCTCGCTGGCGTAAACCGCGTTGACCTCGTCCCTCGGAGTGTTGACTGCTCTGGTTTCCGTATTAGGGGGTCGTCGAGATAGGGCATCCGCATTAGCGTGTTGTTTATCTGATCGGTAGATGCAAGTGAACTTGTATTCCTGTAGTATTTCTTGCCAACGGGCGAGTTGGCCTTCTGCGTCCTTTGTGCTCTGCAGCCACTGTAGAGCCTTGTGGTCGGAGCGTACGATAAATGGCCTGCCCAACAGGTAGGGACGAAACTGTTTAATGAATGTAATCATGGCTAGTAATTCACGCCGATATGTGCAATAATTGCGTTGGGGTTTTGACAAGGTTTTACTCGCAAAGCATAACGGTTTTTCTTGGCCACTGTTATCCGCCTGTGAGAGTACTGCGCCAATAGCGAACGCGCTAGCGTCAGTATCCAAGATGAAAGGGGGTGCATCCGCGGAGACATCAGGAAGTCAAAGTATCGGGGCTGTTGTAAGGCGGGCTTTAAGGTCGTCGAACGCAGTTTGACACTCTTCTGACCAAAGGAATCTCCGTCCTTTCTCAGTCAGTCTATGCAACGGTCTCGCAATGCCGGCAAAATCGGCGATAAAGCGTCGGTAATAGGAAGCCAATCCGATGAATCCTCGGACCTCCGTGGGGGTTTGTGGTGTAGGCCAGGATCGTATAGCGTCTATCTTCTCCGGGGCGACGCGTATGCCTGCTGCGGAGACCTCGTGGCCCAAATATGACACCTGGCGGCGAAGGAACTGGCATTTTTGTGGGTTCAGACGCAGTCCGGCTTCACGTAATGCCTCCAACACCGCGTACAGATTTTGGTTATGCTGTGCGATCGTTCTACCGAAGACGATCACATCATCAAGGTACACCAGACATTGTTGGGGATACAAGTGCGCTAGTACGACCTGCATGAGTCGCTGAAAGGTAGCGGCTGCATTGCACAATCCAAACGGCATAGTCTCGAACTCGAACAACCCTTGTGGCAGGATAAAGGCCGTCTTCTGACGATCTGTAGGTTCCACCTCTACCTGCCAATAGCCCGACATGAGGTCTAAGGTGGAAAACCACTGGGATCCGGCCAATGCATCCAAGGTACATTCTATACGCGGTAATGGGAACGAGTCGCGTGTCGTGACCGCGTTTAGGCGTCGGTAATCGATACAAAACCGCAGTTTACCGTCTTTCTTGGGTACCAATGTCACTGGGGAGGCCCACGGCGAGTGCGACGGTCTAATTACTCCCGTAGCTAGCATGTTATCTAATAGATCGCGAACTTCATTTTGGTACTGGACAGGAATCCGACGCGGAGGTTGCCAAATGGGCTTAGCAGAGCCTGTCTCGATGGAATGCCGGATGCGGTTCGTTCGGCCTAGGGAATACTCGTCCCACGCAAACACGTCCTCGAAATCGAGTAGTAGGACTTTGAGGGCCTGACGGTCACGGGCGGTTTCCCCCGCCTTTGATAATATATCGTTCACAGAAGTAGGCGGTATTTGCACTGAGGTCTGGATAGCCGCACATATGGCTGCGTCATCGAAAACTATCGCTGACGTCATGGGTTCATCTTCCTTTTTTGTGTTGAACTGTACCGTTCGCTGTTTAACGTCTATCTGACAGCCGTGTCGTGCTAAGAAATCAATTCCGAGCACCAAATCCCATGTTAATTTGGGGGTCACGATGAAAGTGTGGCTGGACGTGCTCTGTGGGAGGGTTACGTCAAGTGATACGGTTCCTATATGATTCATTCGAGAACCGTCTGCTGCTGTCAGCTGAGTGCACGGACATGCCGGTGTCCTGATGGCGTATAGCTGTTTTGGTATGATTCGTGGATTAACTAGGGAGACTGTGGCTCCTGTATCTATCAGCGCATTAACTTCTTGGTTGTTAACTAATAATCGAGCATAGAATGGAGTTGCCTTATCGTGGAGATCGTTGCATGAGGTAATGGACAGTGTACTTGGTGTATGGCTGCAGGTGTACGCCTGGTTGCGGTACGGCGGACGACCTCCGGGTCTACAGAAAGGTCTACCTTGCTGGTTAGATTGGCTGGAGTTGGGGCCTGTAAAGCGAGGTCTAAGAGGGAGGCGGCTCCTTACCAAGGCTAAGTCAGGTCGACGCCAATGGTGTCGATATGAGTGCTTTGGGTGGCTCTGAGTGGCGCTGTCCAACCTGATATAACGTTCTGCTCTGTGTAATGAATCTCGCAAATCACCAGGCGGTTGTAGTACCAGTGACCGTGACAGTTCGGAGGGCGGTAGGGCTTTAATAAAATAATGAAGCACAATGTTATCCTTATCCTCAGATCCTAATGAAGGAAAAGCCACAGTTGTCAGGCGTTCGAGATCCTGCACCAGCTGGTTCAGGGTTTCGTCCTGTTTCAATCGCCGTTCCTGCAACTGATCCATCGCGTCGCCGACAGAGTACGTTTGGCTGAACAAGTTAGCCAGGCGTTGGCAAAGCGCGTCAAAGGGTAGATCGGCGTCAAGGCCAGCGTCGAGCGCTTTATCTAACTGTTTAGGCGCAAGGGCCTTGAGTAGCGTCCAGGGCCTGTCGGCCTCTGAGATCTCCCGTAAATAGAATTTCGCGCGTCTGAGCCACACCATAACAGACTCGGTACCATCGAAGGGTGGTATCTCGACGGTGCGCGTTGTGTTTATTTTGTTGCCAGACATGCGTAGGGGATGTGGGCACGGTCGTTGCGCTGCCACCACTGTAGTAGGCGGGCCACTCACTCGTCCTTTCTTCCCTATTGCGATGGTCTTTGCGGCTGCTGTTTCTTCAAGGACTGGCTTAAGCTCAGTACTGTACGTCACCTCTGAATGGTATGGATCTTTAGTGTCACTCATTCTTCAATCAGAAACTCAAGCCAGCGCGAAACTCAGTAGAAGGAAAACGGTCTGTACACAAGAGATTTATACAGTAAAATAGGGTATAAAGGGACGGGAAGCGTATAGTCTCAACGAAGATGGGGGATAACGGCGGTCAAAGGGAATTGTTAAGCACCTCACTGCTGTGGTTCTTGGGTAGGTACTACATTCAGTGAATTCGTCTCCTCAACTCCGTTTCAATACTCCTTCTTATCTGTAATGTGACGAAGAAAAAGGCTCGTCCGAAGCACAGCACCACAGCTCGCCGTTTTTGTCTTCTTTTTTTTGACTTCCCGCCAACTTCACCCAGTCTGACACTACAAACCAACAACTAGAGCAAACCGAAATTTACCCAACAGGAAAATAATTTCAAGGTCAGGCCGATATCAAAGTTCTTCAATTGCCACGAAGGACATATTATTCATGCCCCCGAAAACTACCAAACTGCAAACTTCAATTTTTATATTGTACATATCGTTATTTTTTGAAACTTTTGTTATTATTTTCCCTTAGAACTGAGGTTTTTTTTAACTTAAAACAAACTCTCAATTCGCGCTCTTTTGGCTAACCAGGCACCCGAAGCAAATGAAGTCAAAGTGCAGTTGAAATTGACGAGTTTGTTTTAGGTTTTTTTGCTGAGTTCAAAGGGGACTGACAGTGCCCAAGGGGCGCTACAATAAACCTATTCTATTCTAGGAGATATTTTTTCGCGTTTTTGCGTTTTGCTCTTCGTTTTTGGGATTCTAACACTGCACACGTACTGGCCGACTACGGTCTTTTTCACGAGCGTCCTTAAATTAGCAAGCTCCTTTTCCAGTGGTTCTACTTTGATTTGAATATCTGCGCACCCGGCACAAGGTTCGTCTTCGTACCTCACACTTTTTGCGGTATTTACGCTTTTTGCACGCTTTGCTGGTCGTTGGCTGGAGGCGAAGGTAGAGCGAGCACAGTGTCTGGATGCGAAGGACAACTCACCGGACTTATCTTCCAAAGAGGTGCCGTCGCTGGCCGTACTACCACAGTTAACCTGTTGAGAATCCATAAACTTCGACGTGATATAATAGGTATAATTCCGCTTTCGATGTTATAACGAATACGTCGGCTTATATATGATGAATTAAAGTGAGTATTCAAAACTCAATAAGCGAAAAAAAATACTTAAAATCTGATAAATTTTGTTGAATTTAATCAGAAGCGACTTAGCCCTTTCCAGATCTCGTGGGACTTGAATAACTGCAGACCTTGAAGGATTTTGAGCGATTGGTTTTCTAGGCTGTATACCGTGAATCGGTTGCGTAGCCAGTTGCGTTTTCAGTTGGACCGTGCTGATAAACAAATTGCACTTAGTCCAGGTTCCAGGCGAATTTCGATGCGTGAAAAAATATTCCAAAAATGCACAAAGATGATATGTAACGCCCCTGGACTTGAACAGAGTTGTTTGAATGAGGTGACACTTTTTGCGCGAGGACCTAGGGTGGAGATGGCATAGTCGCGTGTCGGTGAAGATAACCGGTGTCCCTCCCTCTCTCTTCTGCCGATCCCTTTCCCACTCGTCGTACCGTAACGCAACGTATCGCCCGAACCGATCGCCTCCTCGCTACATCGGCACTCCCTCGACCCTTCCCTGCAGTTGCCCCCAGCGCTGCGCTCCCCACCGGTTTACTAGCTGGCATGTTGGCATCGTCTCTCCACCCAGACAGGTCATTCTACAGATGTAACCATCCTACCTGTACCATTAACGATTATTATACATTTCCCCGTGCAATCCCGTCATATTACACTTTATCTCTTATTCGACATGCCTTCTTCTTCTGTGTATGGATGTGTATCAAGGAATGCTAACAACTCCGTTCAGGTCTACACCAGCCAAGAGCTCTTCTCGGCGTTTCCTTTCTCCGGTGTGTGCTACCCTTGACGTCCTCGGCCGCTACAGATAACATAAAGGAATTCTTAGACAATTTAAAAACTCACGGAAATTCAAGTAGTTCATGCAACCACCAGCACACATTACTCTTTCGATCACATCCGAGCATAATTTTCTAAAGCTAATATTTTTTACGAACTTCTTTTTTCAACAATCCTCTGGCGTCGGTTGCAGAATACTATTTTTCGAAAAGTGTTTACTTTGTATAGGCTTTATCGAATTAAAGTTAGTTTGCCCACTTTGAATACTCAGATAGAACCTAACATAAACGTCCCTCTAGACGCCTTGCCGATGAAAACAGCAAGATACTACCAGAAACACACAAGCCGCACTACGGTACTTCGCAATTCTATCGAACTTGAGAACTTCGTCAACACTACTTCCAAGCGCACCCAGTGTTTAATTACAAAAACGTGTGGGGCTATTTTCTCGAGTTCCAAATTTTTGATCTGTCTAAAGAAAGGTTGCTTAGGCTATTCACACCCAGGCAAAGTCAAGCATTCGGGTTAGCCAACCATTCGGGCATTTAGGCGAAGTCAAATAAACCACGGACGGAACTATCAGCTGGACTGGCCTAGATTGCTTCTAATGAGCGTTTACTGAGAAAGCACCCACAACAGTTAGTACGCTTGCCAAAAGGTACAGTGTGGATAACGCTTAGTGAATAAAATAGAGAACTATCGTGGAGCCTGCCGCAAATGGGGTATTCTGAAAGACGTTACCAGTGCGCGACTTAATAAGGTTAATTAAACGGTTATTGTCGTCTATGATGCATTATAAAACGGGTCCACCTCAACATTCGTAACGTTGTCACTATCTCTGAACTAAACGCACCATGCAACTACATTCTTTGTACTTTTAGCTATCCCAACGAGACCCGCTGGTTTCAGATGGCTTTTCATCCCAGCCCAATCCGTTTCGACGTAATAACTTTACATAGCATTATGCAGGCATTACGTAAGGACAACTGAGGACAAGCGGAGCCAGATCACCCTACAAGTGGGCGATTTTTAGAGTAGGCACAGTTTGTTGTCAACATACCAGATCCGGTTTTCTACTGCATACGAAAGTTCGTTCAGTTGGCTATAGACCAACAGCGCTATCTCACACATAAGCTGTAAGTTCGATTATGTTCCATCACCAGAAGTACAGTGGGACCACCTAACGCCCATTTCCTCTTACAAAAATCATCAGGACCAATGAGTGCATTAAATTCCGTTAAAAAAACGGATGACGTCAACCAAGTCCTATATTTAACTAGCACAATCACCTACGTAGATAGTGCGTTGTACTACCATGCAAGTCAACATTGTATACAACAAACGGCGATCATTTGTACTCTCATGTAACGCAAACGCAGCGCAAATGAGGAAAGAAGTCAAGCCAGATGGGTGGGACATCCGCTGTAATTCAATCGGCTTGCAATCCAACTCAACAATTTCCTACCATCAGAGCGGGCCGATCGACTAGATCCACCTTCGCGTGTCAGAACATTTCTTCTGCGTCCCTCGCAGTAACAACCGGGTTCGGACGAGAACCTAACAATACACTCGCCTACTTCTGATCTATGAATGGCAACACATGTAAACCATCGTCGAATACTTCGGATTCCAGACAATGCGCGTAAATAAAGAAATATATTTTTGCGTTACGACCGTATTATTGACCCAATATAAATCAGGAAAACGTACAAACCTCAACAGTAGATAATGTTACCTAGGAATTCATTGAGCATTCCCAAGACAAATACAACTCACAACTCGTGGTTGGGCAAAGATACCAGACGGTTAATAGGAACGCATTTAACTTCTGAAATTAGAGAATAAATACCATTTGCGGGGAAGGGAAATTGGAAACATTTGAGAGAGAGAGAGGGAGAAAAAAAGCTAAAGAAGGTTACAAATATTGAACTGACGTATGCGACAACGCCCTTGCGGAATTCTACAGATGAATAAAACCTACAGAGTGAAGTTGACAAATTGTATTTTTCAAAGATTCAAGCAGTTCGTTTGGAAAACGAGCATGGGGTAAAGATTTCTGTTTGACGTAAAAGAAAAGTAACGGACTCATGCATGAATTATCAAATTTTGCTGCCTCCTTTGTTTGAGCGAACCGAGAACTCCAGCTGTCAGCAGATAGAGTCGCCTTCAACGATTGGTGCTGTAATACCCAATAGCGTTGAAAACCTTGGAATAGTGTAGTCTGCATCTGACTACGAATAAACCCTGATGAACGTAAGTGATGATGGTGATTTCGAATGGGAGCTTTCCAAAGAAAACGTCAAGCCACTCTCGGGCGGTCGGTCCGTCGATCAGCTAAATAAAGTTCTGAAATTTCAAAGGTGTGCAGGCTTCAATCAATGGCGACAGAAAATGAGAAAGTGAGTATCTTCGTAAAATTTTTGTCCGTTGAGTGGACATTGGCACCTTAGACAGCCCCTATTTCGAAGTTTTTATCTTTATAAACCGTCGCCACTGAAAGACTCGATTATGCACCATAGCCACAGTAGTTTCTCTCCCATTCACCTGTGCGTGATACGGCTGCCCTGACATTGTCGTACTAGCCTCTAGCCCTACACTAGCAGTTTATGATTTGTGGGCTTATACACTAAGAGTGATCTGTTTGACGCCTAGCGGCCAAAGACGCTGAGGAGCACCCACGCAGACTAATGCAAGCGCTACCTGGAGAACCTGGGTGAGAATAAGCCAGTGAAGTTGTCAGATAAACCATAGTGCTCATTCAGGCGAATAAGGTAGGAAAGGGATAATTGAATGCAAGAATTTATGATATAGAGAGAAATAGATTACGAACAAAGAAACCATGAAGAAAATGGGTACAGTTACATCAGAAGTGGTCCGTCTAGTTGGAGGTTCAGTACCGT